GGTCAAAAATCCAACCTTTGACGGAATTACACACATTGTGTTTTCCTAAAGCATGCAACTTTTGGAGTTGAGAGTTGCTCCCATGGGAAGTGTATGGGTTGCTCCCATTGTGCACCAGGGTCACTCGATGTCACAATAGTCTCTTGCAAGATTCTTTCGGTTCACCAAAATGTTGATTGGGGCATACTGCGGCATACTGGATTTTTTGTGTTTTCGTGAAGCACTCTAAAAAAGATTCTATTCTTCGACATCGTCGGCTTTGCGCATTCTGAGTTTCCCTGTGTTTTCTAAATACTATTTGTAGTCTTTGTGGAATCATAGCAGGGTGAATTTCTGCGCATGGCTCCTGGAAGGGTTGGAAGCCTCCCAGAAGGAAAGTTTTGTGGAAGCCTAGCGGAAGTCCTACGTGTATATATATATACGTATATATAATAGATGTATATATATATATACATACATACATACATACATGCATACATACATACATACATACATACATACATTTAAATGAATAAATACATAACCATAATGTATGTATAGATTTTACATGAGGGTTCGGAGGTCGCGAAAGCAAATCATCCCATTCCGACCCAACGCAGCAACTCCTGGAAGGTACATTGCCATGGTCACCCCTCCAGTAATAGGGCTTAGTTTATATGCATACATGCATGCATGCACATGCATGCACATGCATGCATACACACACATAATTATATATATGTATATACACATACATATAATTATATATACACATCCACATACTTGGGACTCCGGTCGCACAGGAAGATATGCAATGGGTTCGCGTGCCTTTGCCTGGAGGAAGCAACAGACGGGACAGATTTCGCAACACAGAAGTTGTTCTCAGATCCTAATCCCAGCTGATTCCAGTGGGAACAGATCGCATTTATTTGATGCATAGTTTTTCACGCTCTTTGTGCCCCCAAAGTTCTTTTCGTGTCTGCAGTGACACAGCTTTTCTTGTACCACAACTTGAAACATGGGAAAGGAATCGAACCTATCAAAAGGACTCTTCAGCTTCAAGAAGTGGCACCATGTGGCGTTTGTTCAGAGTGATCTGCAACCAACACTCATTTGTAGATGATGTGTTTATGAAGTTGGTCTCTTCTGCACAGACTCATCAATAGCATGGCCCATTCCTTTGACCCGTTGGTACCGGCCCTGCTATCACTGCTTGATGTCACTGCTTGATGTCACTGCTTGATGTCACTGCTTGATGTCACTGCTTGATGCTGCGTTGATCTAAGGGAATTCTCACGGAACTACGATCAGATGGCCATTCAAAGATGACATGGACGGAGTTCGTGGAATTCTTCCGACAAGCAGGTTGGACTCGGGTGGTATAAGGGGAACGCACTTAGCCCAAGTGAAGCCCATCAAGTAATTGCTCCGTGGACACCTCAAGAGAGTCTGCATGTTCCCCTGTTTTTTTCGATGCTGAATCCTCAAATCCATTCAAATCCCTCATTCCCCGATTTTTGCAACTATCATCATGGACTTGTACTGCAACCACAATTCCGATGACGATGATGGTCATGATGCTCTTCCCTGACCCCAAGGTTGAAGTGTGGTAACTCGAATGAAAGTGGCTTCTCTTCCCTAGCTACACCCCACCCCAAAATACCCAAAAGACTTCAAAATGACGCCGATTCCATCAGCTCCCGGAATCTGGCGCAGGCTTGTTGCTGGAATACGAGACCAGAGCTGAGATGAACGAATCTGCTTTGGGTGAGACCAGTCTGATGGAACAGCAGGGGTGCCCAGCTGGAAACATGGAGGTTTACCTCCTATGGCCAAACATGATGAACATTTTTCTTGTGAGAAACCATCAAATTGTTGTGTGACCTGGAGATCTCAGATATCAAGCACTGGAAGATTAATCGAAGGGCTTTGGATCTCTGAAGGATGTGACATCGCAGTATAGTTTTGTCCTGCACTCACGTTGCGGAGCACCAACACCAAAGCATCGCAGCTCCCTCTTGACATCTCCAACCCCCTACAAGTGCCATGTTTCGAATTCCTAAGCCAACCAGAGTATGGTGCGTGCAGTGCGTGCAGTGCGTAAACAAGGTGTCTCCTGCGCAGTCGGCAAGTGTATGGAATCAGTACATACCCTGAAAGACACAGGATGAGTGTCTGGACGTTTCGAAGGCAATGGTAAAGCCTTTGGAAATTTGGAGTTCTTGCCGAAGAGTCTGTGGACTCTGTGGAAAACCATGGAAAAACCATATTGATCTGGGACAGAACCAGCTGTCTGGTTCTCAAGTTTTTCATTTCAATTGCAGTTTGTCATGTTTCCAGAACTCCTGGCATGATGTTGTGAATGGTCATTATATGTGAAGCAGACATAGAATGGCTCTGTCATTGGCATGCACATGTCACATGGTGTGCAAACATCCTCTTAATATTATTTGATATTACCCTCTGGTAAACGTTGACAAAAAGCTATCGAAAATGGTGATTTATAGTGGATTTACCCATTGTTTCAATGGTGATTTTCCATAGTTATGTAAATGTTTACCAGAGGGTATTGGCATTTATTTGTCGGGTATCTGGTTTTTTGCTGCCTTGTTTCACATTTTTCTGCAGCAGTTGATCTGTCACTGCGGGTAGGGATGGGCTGGTAGGCCAGATCTCATGCTGCGCAGCAAACAAAATCTCCCATTCCATACATGCTATAAACATCACACACCATCACGCTACTCTATGTACTATGAGTATGTAGTAAGTTGCTGTTGTGGGCTCAATTTTGTGGCATGTAGGCATCGTGCCGCTTTAGTTGGCTTCAGGGTGAATTTCTATACCTTCGTGGTGGGTTTGATGTCCTGTACATGAGTTGACTTGTCCCCGCGTGAAGTGTCTCATAAGCTTTACTCAATCTGCCTATGCCCTTCTGATCCCTTCTGATCCCTTCTGATCCCTTCTGATCCCTTCTGATCCCTTCTGATCCCTTCTGATCCCTTCTGATCCCTTCTGCCTTCGAATCGCGCGCAACAAAAGATCGTGGATAGGCGGTCACAAGATCACTCAGAGCGCCAAGGATTGGCCCTGAAAAGATGCCTAAGCCATGTGTAGTTTGTTGATGCCAAACATACTGTCTTAATATGTCTGAATATGTCGAATCGCAGGCTGGAATTTTTGCATACTGGCTGTCAAAACTTGTCAAAACCATCTGGTGGTACGATTCCTTGCTTGAGAACAACTGTTTCTTCGTTGCACACCGGAACCGCACTTGTTGGGTACCTGGACTGCGGAGTCTCATCGCTTTGTTGTTGGGAACACTCATTGAACCTGCCGGCAGCCACCGCGACAGGTTGAAGAGCCAAGAGGAAGAAGAAAGTCGCTTCCAGAAGATGTTCTTCAGCGCTGAACGCAGAGGTGCAGAAGCGAGTGTACAAGAAACCTGTGAACGTTTAGGAGGAGGTTTCTTGTGCAGCATGGACTTTTGACCTTGTGTAGGGTTGGATAATCTATCAGTCTGGTATTGGATCGTAGTATCAATGATGGTCATGGTGATGGTGGTGCTGATGACGATGAGGATGATGAGGAGGAGAGGAGGATGAGGATGCGGAATGGTGGTGCTGATGCAGAGGAGGCGGACGAGGATGAAGACAGGAAGATGACAAGGATGTCGCTCATGATCACGACGACCGCTAGGACAAAGCTTCAGACTTGCCCCCCTCCACCTTGGCTCATGATTTTGTCCACTTTTCAAGGACTTTCCAAGTTTCAATTGAAATTAGTTGGATTGTCATACCCAGTCGAGGCTCAAATTCTCAAAACTTCCCAATTTTTGGATGCTTCTGGTGGTTTCTCAGAATCGGTTTGAGGGACAAATTACAGGAAACCACTGTACTTGGTGATGAAAAACATGACTTCCTCTCACAAAACTAGTGTATGTAGGTGTGTGTGTATATATATATATATACACACACACTCTCTCTCTCTCTATATACATACGATATAATACAATATAATATAATATAATGTAATGAAATATAATGTGTATATATATAATATGACATGATATAGTACAACATAACATGATTTAATATAACAAAACAAAACATAACATAACAAAACATAATATAACATACCATAAAATAACACAAAATAAAGTAACATAACATAACATACTATAAGATAGTGTAATATAATATAATATAATATGATGTAATACCAAATAATATAATAAAACATACTAGGATATAATATAATTTAACATGATAAGTTTTAATATAATATAAAGTAATATACTATAATGTAATATTAATAATGTAATGTAATGTAATATGATATAATATAATGTAATGTAATGTCGTAATATAACATAACATAACATAACAAAACATAACACAACACAATACAATACAATATATATAAGCTAATGTGATATAATAATATATAATATAATGTAATGTAATATAATATCATATCATATAATATAATATAATATGATATATAATATAATATATAATATAATATATAATATGATATATAATATAATAAAATATTTCATATAATATATAATATAATATATTATATAATATAATATATAATATACTATATAATATAATACATAATATAATACATAATATAATATAATATAATATAATATAGTATAGTATAATATAATATAATATAATATATAATATAATATATAATATAATACATAATATAATACATAATATAATATAATATAGTATAGTATAGTATAATATAATATAATATATAATATAATATAATATAATATAATATATAATATAATACATAATATAATACATAATATAATATAATATAGTATAGTATAATATGATATAATATAATATAATATACATAATATAATGTACAATATATACATACATACACACACACACCATACATGTATATACCCCAAAGTTGTTTGATGGTCTTTACGAACTCGGACAAAGCTTCCTTCCGTCGGATCTGATGCTTTGCAGGTGCCATGATTCAAGCGCGACGGCGCAGCAGTTTGGCGGAGCGTGAGAGTTGCGCTTTGGCCCAGATCACCTAAAAGGAACCCTGGTGAAACTCATCTGGTTGGTGGTTTCAAACCAGATATTCCAGATGAGTAACCACGGTTCCCATATTTTATAAAACCTATATTTATATTTATACCATATATTTATACCATATTTCTGAAAATTAGTAACCACGGTTCCCATATTTTTCAGAGGGGTGATTAATAAAACTTTATAAAACCATCAACCAGTAATCCATCAGAATTTTGGTGATTAATAAAATCAGTTTTTTTCCATCACAATCAACACAATCTTTCATCAGAACCCAGGTGGATCAATGATAAGGACCTCACCGCGCACCTTCCACCCATCAGAAGACAAACGCTATAACTCAAGGTCCAGTAACGCCCATGAAATCTACAGTTATTCAAAGTAGGTTTTGTCAACATGGTTTTTCTTTGCTAACAGGCAGTTTGGAAGTACAGTGGCACTCTTTGGGTACATTTTCCACCTTCCGTATCACTTCCGTATCGGATTCTCACCTCAAAGTGCATTACCCCAAAGGTGTCCCTAATTTTTGGGCGAATGCCCAGGATGGAAAATCCCCTGGCCTAGCCATGGAGCATCATGGAGCTTTACTTTCCGAAAATCATCGGTTACTCAGGGCTGATTTTCCCAGCTAGGTTTGAGTGCTGGAAGGGGGCCGGGGCGAAGACCACCTCGGCCTTTGGTCCTCAAAGATGGGACCTGGCTGTACAAACTTGACAGTCACCAGACGGCCGTTTTACGCCAGTTTTTTTGGAGCCGATCAGATTGTGGTCAACTTTGTTAAGTTGTAAAGGTTTCATTGCTGTATTGAATGACGCCCTGATGTTTTTTTTGGAACTTTCCGAGCTTTGGGATTTGCCAAGCTATATCCATTGACAAATTTTGCTAAGCCCAAATCAATCCGAAGGACTGTTGCTTCGCTGCCAGACATGGTGTGTTCATGTTTGCGAACTGGAAAATGGTCCATAGAAATAGTGGATTTACCCATTGTTTCAATGGTGACCATTTTTCCATAGAGTTTTTTGTATGTTTACCAGGCCGGGTAAATCCCATTAAATCCCATTAGATCCCATAAAATCCCATTAAACCACCATAAACCACCATAAAACCACCATAAAACCACCATAAAACCACCATAAAACACTATAAAACCACCATAAAACACCATAAAACCACCATAAAACACCATAAAACCACCATAAAACCACCATAAAACCACCATAAAACACCATAAAACCACCATAAAACCACCATAAAACACCATAAAACCACCATAAAACACCATAAAACCACCATAAAACCACCATAAAACCACCATAAAACACCATAAAACCACCATAAAACCAGCATAAAACCACCATAAAACCACCATAAAACACCATAAAACCACCATAAAACCACCATAAAACCACCATAAAACCACCATAAAACACCATAAAACACCATAAAACCACCATAAAACACTATAAAACCACCATAAAACCACCATAAAACACCATAAAACCACCATAAAACCACCATAAAACCACCATAAAACACTATAAAACCACCATAAAACCACCATAAAACCACCATAAAACACCATAAAACCACCATAAAACACCATAAAACCACCATAAAACCACCATAAAACACCATAAAACCACCATAAAACCACCATAAAACCACCATAAAACCACCATAAAACACCATAAAACCACCATAAAACCACCATAAAACCACCATAAAACCACCATAAAACCACCATAAAACCACCATAAAACCACCATAAAACCACCATAAAACTCCATAAAACCACCATAAAACAACCATAA